AGTTCTTCAGGGAACTGCAAACTACAAAGACAAGGAAAGCAATACATCTTGTTTATAGCCTTGTCTGATCCTATCTGTAAGGGTAGAGTAAAGAGATTAATGTTTTACTTGATGGAGTTTAACTTTTCAAGTTTTTAAAACATTGAACCAAAACTCAATGAGACTGGGATGATGTTACTTAGATGTAATGAAAAGATGCAGTTTTGATGTGTTTGTTCTGAAATTCTTAGCTTTGGGCCATTAAAGTTCTTATTTAAAGATATTTGTTAGTTACATGCATGAAAGATTACTTGAGAAGCTATTTCATCATATTGCTGTCCTTCTTTTGGCAAATTATATTGGTTTTGACTTTTGCTATGAATGCAAAAGTCAAATCTCTGCAACACAAAATGTTTTTGAAAACTCATTGGATCATAAAACGTCTGCCTATCTCAAACCGATGGGTAGTTATTAAAAAGTGTTCTCTTTCAGTGGTCTTTAGGAAAGTAAGGATGAGGGAACAGAAAGTCCTCCCTTATAAGCAGGGTTACATTTTACAAGCTGTCATCCTGCCCTCTCAATTTAAATCTTCCCTGACAAGTTTAATGCCAACAAACCTTGGAAACCAAGATTGACTCAGAATTTGGAAGTGCGGTAGCAGAATCCTTTTAAAAGATGTCATTAATTTTGTTTCTTTTTTACACACACATATATACATATGGTGAGGTTCTAGTTTTGTGACTTCTATGCAATAGTTTTTCCTAATAATGAAGCAAACACAAAAATTGTCAGCCAACTCCCTTGTTACATTGGGTAAATCAAGCCAGACACTGAAGCAGGACCCAGCCCCTTTCCTGCCATTGTGCTGTGCCCCTTGGAGGAACCCCAAAGTTCCTTCTAGTGTGCTTTTGAAATAATTTGATGTTCAGCACATCATCCAAGATGGGCCACTTAAAGCTTAATTGCCCTTTAGAATGATTTGTGATGTGTCTCCTTCACTCTTTTAACAGTGTTAATTTTATAAGCTAGTTTTATTATGTGCACATTGATACAGAGAAAGATGTTCTCTTTTAGAGTCTGGATTCTTCTTTCAAGTTCATTTTCTTTAAATAGTAGGAGGAGGACTAGAGAGATGAATCATCAGTTAAGAGCCCTGGCTGCTCTTCCAGGGGACCTGTGTTTGGTTTTTAGCACCCACATGCTAACCCACAATTGTTTGTAACTCCAGTTCCAGGGGAGTTGTCACCTTCTTCTACCTTCCAACAGCACTGCACACAAGTGGTACACATACAAACTGCAAGCAAAACACCATATACATGAAAGTAAATTTCAAATTAAAAATTTAAATAGTAGGAAATAACAATAATTGGCATTGATTATTTTTTATTATCTAAAGCATCAGTGGGGCAATTAGTTTTTCTTCTCCAAAATTGTTTTGTAATTTTTTCCCTATTATGCCCAGGGTCAAGACTTCAGAATTCCTGAGATAATTATTATGGTGACAATAGCAAACTGGTGAACTGTGTTGACTCACATTGCCAAAACTGTAAAATCAGTGTGTCTTACCACTGTGCCTCAGATATGTAAATTAACCTTTGACTCATTCATTCATTCATTAAATGGGCCTTTTGAATTCCAGCCCCTGTGTTGCTGGTGTTGTATTGTGTTTTGTTTTGTTTCCACTCATATTCTTCTTAGTCTGATATCTAGTTGAGTTGTCAAAACAACAAACAAGAAAGCAAATAAGTAATTATAATGTAGTAAGTAGATACAGTAGCATGCAGGGTAATATGATAAAGACTGAAGGAAGATGGGCAACTTTGGGAGGGGCTCTTTGGAAGAACTCTCTGAGAGGGATATTTAAATAGATCCCAAAGATAAAAATAAGCTGGGCCTTCAGAGAACAGACCCCATGAAGACTTTCTGAGCTGGAAAGTTACCACTTTCCAATTTGTTATCTGAGAACAAAACTATCTTTCTACATATGAACACTGTGCTGATATTAACTAACTTAAATGCAAAATGATTAATCTGGACTGAGCATAAAACAAGAAGTGAAGGAACAAGGAAATCACTCTACTTTGAGAAAGAAAAGAGAATTATTAGGTGACATGAAAGTACAAAAAAACATTTAGAGATCTGTATCATGCCTTTGCAAACACCTCATTGTGTGATACAAGCTATCAGATTTGGTATTCATGGAGGGCAAAGATCTTGGAGTTGAGAATTACCTTGGGCTTTGGAGAATGAATGGAATTGATAGGCTCAAAGGAAGCAACAAAATGAGAGAATTTACTAAATAAAGATCTAATACTGCCAGACCCTGAACAAAAATGTGTGACTATGAAGTCTCACATGCTACAGCCAGAGCAACCTGTGAGGTAACAGAGATGATAGGCAACCCTAATTCATATAAGTTGGTACAAAGATAGAACAGCCAAAGTCATTATGGTTTATTAAACAAAAATGCTATAATTATACAACTTAATGGAAACCTGATAATAGGATAAGAAGACTTTTTTTTAAATCATCCTTTTTTATTTTACCTGGTGGTGAGAACGTGGCCTATACTAACCTTTAAGTGTCTGTGCATAGGACACTTCAGAATTAACCCCTGTACACCTGGTGGTGCCTGAAGGTTAACAAATCAAACACCAAATCCAAGAGATTCACTAAACATTGTCAGTGATAAAACTAGACAAGTTTATTTGAGATATTTAATTACTGTCTCAGTGTGGGACAGATTAAGTTCCAGAAAACAGCAAGATACCCAAATTGTGATGTGTTCTAAGGATTGGAAGGGAAGAGCTAAAGAAAAGAACGGAAGGAGCATGGATGTGATTAGGTGATGAGAACTGGGGGCTTAGTTCTTGAGTTCATAATTAAGCCTTGGAGGTGGGAAAGTATAATTCTGACCCAAATAGAATTACATAAACAACCTCAGACAGTAACTATGCAAAGTCCTTGGAGCTGTATGTTTGTATGATCATCAAAACCACACCCAACCTATAGAGTGAGCACTATTTATTCTGAAGTCCATAAATATAACTTATTTATTTCTCCCCACAACTTTCCAGAAGCAAATGCTGCTGTTATCTGCATTTTCTAGGCAAGCAATCTTGGGCACAGAGAGATCAAGCAATTGGGCCAAGATGAATCAACTTGAAACAGTACAGCAGAGATTCAAACACAGGCATTGTGCCTTCAAAGCCTGAGCCTTTAGCTCACACGCCATATGCTTATATCCAAGATGGTGTTTTAATTGCATAGTTTGACTTCCATCTTATGTAAGTGTCTTGAAAAGGAGTTAATTAACAGTTTTAAAAGTTGGGTGGAAACCAGAAAGTCCACAGATGGCCCGGCAGTGGTAGCATAAATCCTTACCATAGAAGACAGCCTGGAATTCTCAGGCAGAGAATAGGAAGGAATAATGAATCCCTGAATATATTATTATTGTTGTTATTATTATTATTATTATCATCATCATCATCATTAGCTTCTTTCCATGCACTATTGATGCAGGAGATTGTCTCTTTGATAGTTGGTAATTTATCGGGCAAATGGCCTCTATTTGTTCTTTCTATATACTACAAATATATGTGCTTTTATTTCTGTACAATGTATATTCATTTACCTCTGTTGATTGCCAGGGTTTTCATTTGAAACTCATTTCTTTCTAGCATTATTAAATAAGACTTAGACCTGGAAGAGTAGAGTTTTGTGAGGGGTCTCCATGTTAGAATGACTAGGTCACCATCCCTTGGGTCTCTCTTTAGAGAAGCTCAGGTCTTGGAATAGGAATTATGAGGAGCCATTCTCCTTGGGAAAGACACACAGGACTTCCTTGACAAGCCCTGTGTCTGGTGCTCACACACTGGGGGAGGAAAGACCTTGCCATCATCCTCCATGTTATTTGTTCAGTCTTTTCCATGTTGAGGAGAAAGTAGGATTGAACAGTATACCAGATGAAGTCATACAGTTTAAAGGTGAGGGGACAAGGTACCAGTTTGGTGTCATAGCTGATATATGGAAGGAGGTAGCTGGCCTGTCTTCAGTGAATCTGTCAGTACTTTGATTTGAGCAACTGTCTGAACAAACGTCATCTTGTTCTATCTTCCTAAAGCACAGTTCAATTGAATTTGCTTCCAAATACTTCATTATTTTAATCTTAACAACAAATATACTTACTCTTGAATTTATGATTCTCCATGATTTTAACCTAGACTGTGGATACCACCCTATCTGCCAGTGTACCCATTTGGTCAGACAAGCTACAACATTTATCCTGCAGGGTCATCATGCATCCAACTGTATTAGACTCAGGAGAGGACCATGTCCACTTCTAATACCTGTCCCCCTTTTCTTATTAGCCCCAGGTGAGTGTTGTAGCCACTCAGCTAAAGGTCATCTCCACAACAGAGCCTTGCTCATTGACCTGAAGACCTGTAAGATTTGTCCATCCCCAACTCTTTTTATCTGTGATCTAAGTATTTATGAGAATTATCTTCCTACTACACTCTGGGAAGAATCTGTACCTCATTTACCTTTTGCCTATTTCATTTAATAGCATAGAAAGTTAAAAGTGAAAGGGCTCAGATAACATATAGATTATGTCTTCATAAAAACTTTTCTTTCCCTATGCCCCCAGTAAGAAACTATGTATAGGGCAGATTATCTAGTCCTCAATCTAAGAAATGTTATCCAAAAACAGTGAGTTTGCCTCCTGGCATGCACATAGGAATTACATGGATTGTCTATGATGCTTCTAAATGCTGGGAACAGCAGACTCAAACTAGAAATTAAGGTTGAGGAAGTGAGACCCACGTGTCTAAATTGTGCAACATTCACTCCCTCGCAATACTAAGGTATAACTAGGTTGGGCATCCGAGCTCCACAGTGGATGAGTTCATAGTCTACCAGTTGTTGTTTCAGATGAGTTACAATTTGCTAAATATGGATAATAGTGGAGAACATTATGTCTTACTTGCAATAGTAGCTTACATAATTGTTTAACTTTTCAGATATTTCGAAAGAAAGCAGTGGAACTTGGGGTAAAATTGCTACCTGCATTTCATACTCCCTCTGGAATACCTTGGGCATTGCTGAATATGAAAAGGTAAAAGTCTTCATTTTCAACAACATACTTTAAGGTGGAATATCTGAGATTGTGGCCTCATGAGATGGTTAATTACATGCACTTTGCTGACAGTGGACCTCAACTGAATGTCTTAGAACTGTGTTGGGAACTCTTAGCCCTTCAGTGTTCTGTGACCTGGGATGGGCTCCTGTCATGAGCTAACATAGTCCTAACAGAATGATGCCAAACAGACTTGAGCTAAAATTGTCTCCATTTTATAGTGCTCTTGTATTAGTAATACTGTCCCACTCCATGAATACCAAGTTAGGAAAACATGTCACTTAAGCAAATCCCTAGGGTTGTTTACTTTGCTTAAACTATTGAAGATGGAGATGTTGCAGAGAAATAACACTGGCTAATCAGACCTTTTAAAAATCTGGACTATCTGACTATATGAGGCTGGAAGCAGCCAAGACTGCCAGGCTCACAGTTGTAAAGAGGGAATAGGACTACTTCATTGACAGATCAACCAGCCCTTTTGCATAGAAATAACTGGCATGCTTCTCAATTAATTAAAAGCAAACAAACAAGCCAGCCAAATACTTCCTGTGTTCTCCCAGGGAATGTGTTGAGTTTTCATTGTAGTTCTCGTATTTCATCAATTAAATAATTTCATTTTAAGCTGTAATGATCAACATAAAATGTGATAGGTTCTTATAGAAGTTACACATAATAACCCTCAGAAGAGCCCAATATAGTAACTCCAGTTGTTTCTCCATTTGGGGGACCTAGAGTCACAGGGAGATTACTAATCTATTTGCCCAGACAATAAGTAAGTAGCAGTGCTAGACTGAGTACTGAGATGTTTATATGTGCATGTGTGCCTGTCCACAGATATGCTTTATTTACTTTAGTAACACTACAAGGACCAGCAGAGTGGTTTGACAGAACTATAATACATAATTATTTATTTTAGTGACACTTTATCCCCAAGTTAGTCATGAAAAATCATGGAAATTAATCATGGTTTGATAGTTTTCTCTTTTCCTTTAGTTAAAAAATCCTCAAGTTTCTGTGTTTTGTTTCATTTACAAATTATTCTGTTTTGTTTCATTTATAAATTACTAACTAAATTTTGAACTTGTGTCTACCTTGTTAACTGAATCTGTGTGTCTGTGTATGAAGCAGGCTGGGCAGGTTGATGCAGAAAGATGAGGAAGTCACACTATAGGGCTATCAAATTTTTAAGTATTATTAAGAATTATTAAGTATCAAATTGAGCTAGTTTCTCTGCCAGATAGTATGACAGCTCAAGACCTGTTTTCCCCACTAGGGCTCCTGAAGCTATGTCTGTGAGCTTGCATTATCTTTCCATGTTCTGCAAGATCTCAAGGCAGGACTGCATCTGAACTTGTCTTTCAGTTGCTTGGCATTTGGATGCCTTTTGTATTTGGCTCATGTAGACCATCTCCATACCTCCAGATTTGATATTTATATGTAACATTCTGACCAAGATACTGCTTCCTTACTTTCAATAAGATCTGATCACAAAGACACTGTACATTTAGCTCATTTTCCCTCCCCCTACCCTCTGAGGGAGCTAATATGAGCATAGTGGTATACAAATTGCTTATCGAGAGACCTGCTTCTTGATTAGCTGCAGCTTCTTCAAGGTTTTGTTTTGAGCCATCTCTTTAAATTCTGCAGGCTCCTTTATAAACTTGGAGATAGACTAGTTCAGTAGTTTTTTGGTGACCCTTTCCAGGTTACAAACTAAGATTTGATCAATCAACAGGGACCTCTTCTAATAAAATGTATGTTTATTAGAAAATCAAATGATTCTAATTTCTAAAACCCTAACATACTATGGGAGTTCACTTAGGACCTGAGGCTTCTGTTTAAGAACCTAGAGTAGATGATGACTTTAAATTTATGAAGACTCATTGGAGCGAATACTGTAGCTTTCCACAGCTGAACAAAAATTTCCTAAAAACTAGCATGGGCCTACTTTGCATAGGTTGAACTGGGTATTATAATGTTTAATTTGTTGTGATGTCTCTTGAAGTAATTGTAAACATTATTAACTTTATTACATGTTTATTTCTAATAATGAAGTGGATTTTTCTTAATCAAATCTATTTTTAGTGAACTATAGAAATATTTTTCTTTATACATAGGAATGCTTATTAAATTGTGAATTTATGTGTGTGTGTGTGTGTGCGTGTGTGTGTTTGTACATTTATGATGATGATCAAGAATTCATTAACGGGAACATTCAGAGTTTTCATAAGGTCATCCCTATTTTGAACAATATTTTGCATTATGACATTGCCTCAAAGATTATAAACAATTGTATATGCTTTTTTAAAAAATGATCACTTTAATTTATATATTCCCAAATGTTTTCATTTAAACTAAAGAAATTGTATAATTATCTGGCTGCTGATGGGAACATTTTTTTGTTTTTGTTTGTTTGCATTTTGTGTACTTACATGAGTTTTGTTGTTTTCACTATTAAATGTTTTGTCCACATTCATTCCTATGTACCAAATTCACAAAATCAGCTTTGGCAAAATTATAGTAGGATTCTTCATATTCATTTGTCTAATTAAAGTACATTATTGGAACCCATTCTCTTTCTGGCTGAAAAGCTTGAGTTGTCATCTGAAAATTTTTCAGATAACACAGAAAATGACATTTTGCATATACCTACAGCATACTTTTATTTTACCAGTGTGCTCGGTCCTTTGCATCTATATTTTCACAATGAGGCTCAAAAAAAGGGAATGGCTGGCAAGGGCTTCTCTAACTTTTGAAGGCTGTCACTAGTGAGTGTTTTAAAGGAGAAAGTGGGAAATGGGTCCAGCAAAATTAATTATCTTCTCAAAACAAGAGACTGTAGAATTTGTAGAATGCCCAAGGTATGTGGATGGGGGAGGACTGTGGGAGGTTGAGGACACTTTGTAGAATAGAAGGGGTAGTCTCTGCTGACTGGCTTTGAAACACAGCATGAGCTATGTTGAAGAAAGCATGGAGTGATGTCTGTGTTATTATAAAGCAACACATCTCAATTGTGAAAGCAGGAATGCTGTTCTTTGCCAACATCCACAAAAATGTGAACCTACGTCTATCACTTGTGCATATGCCGCTAATATCTGTGTTAAAGATAATTGGTTTCTTTACTTTTTCTTTGTCAATTATAGGTATTTCTTTGTGTCTCTGCTGTGTTGATGTTTTGTCCTAAACCTTGGGAAGATTTTCTACTTCTTTTCACTTCGTTTTATTGAAGAGGATGACAGACAGGCCTACTCCCTCAGGATTCATAGCCTGGTTGTTAAAGCAGAATATATATTTTTTTATGTAGTGTTGTATGCTCACATTTGTAATTTACAAATATAGCATAGTTTTTTGCCAAGCAAAGATAACTGCTTACTGGGTTGAACTTAAAACAAGCAGTATTTTGAATTGGGAAGGTTTATATATTTGGAGCCAAAATATCAATAGACCAAATTGGATTTTGTTATTTATGTATAAGCTGGAAAATATGTAGAAAAACTAATTTACTTATACCGCTGTCTTGGGAACTCTGTGGTGGAGGATGGGGGGGGGGTGCTTTTCTTGCACTTGTAACAAATACTTAATTTAAGAGCTATATTTTTACTGTTAGTTGGAATTGTGATTTTGTAGCTAGTAGTCATTCCATAGCCTAGGTGTCACAAGAGCTGATGAGACTAACATGCTTGCATCCCCAGTACAGTTGTAGAAGGAGGCTGTGTAAGTCACACAATGTCTCTGCCAAATGAAAACCAATGTCATGCTAGCAGATTAGATTTTTGTATAACCCAGTTTCTTTAATGACAAAATGTCAAAGTTTGATGTCTAATCTCGTTACTACTATTAGCAAGGGGACTCATGCATTTATTTGTCTCCAGCTTGCCACAGAAAACTCACCTATGTGAATTATGAAGCATTTTACCGTTCCTTTATTTCTAGGCATAATTTAAGATCAGGTGTAGATAAGACTTATGTTAGATTTTTGCTTTTCTAAAGTATGTTCTTAATTTAAAATAATGTAGTTAATGTGCCCATTATTCATTTCTATCACCACACATACAGTCTGAGCATTCCTAATAATTATTCTGTCTCTCTTGATAAATGAGTTAGTTTTAGCTATATTGTTTTATCACTTCTTTCTCTTAGTGGATTTTCTGAAGCGACACTTGTGGGGTGGGTATATTAAGTTAGTGGGACTGTTTGTAGTGTGTGCTTTTATTGCTCACCATCAAGGGATGTGCTGGAGCCTGGCTGCTCTCTCTTTAGAGTCTCATTAGTCTGCAAGGTGATGAATGAGGCACAACTACCTCACCTGCCCCCCCCAAGCCCTTGCTTGATAAAGCTTTTTGTACCCACTATTTTAATTATCTGACAAAATGCATACTGTGTTATGAATTGTATTGTAGTTTATATTCCTATAATTAAATTATAAATTTCTTTGCTTGAAACATGGTCTTAATTAGGAATAATACATAGCTTAATGTTTCCTAACAAAGGAATGAATGGTGATAATCCCCTTTCTGAGTTACTGAGTAATACTTGAATGGTACAAAAATACTTGTATATTATACTTGGGAGTTTTAATAGACAAACTAAAGAAGACTGTTTAGTGGCCTAAATAATTTTAAAATGTTTTGTAAATGTCTTACTATGACTTGACGGCATATTTCAACATTATTATATTTGAATCCCATTTTTTTTAAGTATCTGGTTTCAGATTTGAAGGAGGTACATTATGTTTTCAAAATGAATCTGAGTACAGTTCCATACTTTAACTTAAGAATATCAATTAGGAATATCAATAAACATTTTCAGAGCAGAAGGAGAGCAGCTGATTTAATGATTTGCTGGTAAAGACAGCATATTGCTTAATTATCCTGTGGTGTTTTAGACCAGCAATCTAAGCATGCGTATAAATCAGGGCTTCACTTGACAGTTCATGCTTATTTATGTTCCATGGATCCTTAAGGAACTCAAAAACAAGT